TTAGAGGTAGTCCCAGGGAGGGCAGACTGCGAGGGGCAACAGGAAGAACCAAGAAGACAATTGTTCTGGACCTTTGATCTCGTCAGCTGAGAGGTGCGGAGTGGGTGTGGGTTCTAAACATGGAGAACGTGGCAGGACTCACCCTGAGGGGGCATAAAAGGCCAGGGAGAGGAAGGAATGAGGGAAGGTCACAGGCTGGAGGCAGCTGTCCTCCAGGGCAAGTGTTTCAGGTACTGTGGGCTGCACTGGCACTTTCTAGATGGCCGAGGGCTGCACCAACTGGGCAATGGGAGCATGGGTCTGAGGTTGGCTGTGAGTCAGGGGCAAGGATCCTTGGATCTGGAAGGTCAGCTGCACCAACCCTGAGGGCAATAATGGATCCAGGCAGAGGAGTCCCCCTGCTCCCTAGTAGTCTTCAAGGACAAAAAGGGGTAGGATAAGGGCCTGGAGCTGGGAGTCAGATGTCCCGGGCATGGAGAATGACTGTGGGTTGCTGTACAAGCTACACACTTTGACATCTACCCTTTATAGTGTGTGGGTCATTCACAATGATGTTACCATCATCTGCGTCTAGTTCTAGAACATTCCATCACCCCAAAAGGAGACTCCACATCCCTCACTGTGGGGTGCAGGAGCCTGGGGAGGGGCACAGGGAGAGCCAGGGTTCTCTGTATAATTGTATTTTATGTGTAATAATTGTTTTGGGCTGGCTTGGGAGGGGCCCTCTTCCAAGGCCAGGCACCTCTGAGACAGCAAAGGGCTGGAGGGATGCAGCTCTCTGCAAACCTCTCCTCAACCAATGAGCACACAGCTGTGGCAGATAATCACCTGTTGCTAGGGAGCAGGCAACATTGCACTACGTCAATGCGGCTGCTGTCTCCATGGCGACAAGAGCCACGCTGGAGCCCAGATGGGAGGGAGGGAGCTCAAGCCTGAAGCTGGGGACATGCAATTACTATTGGCTGAGGAGAGCAGCACTCAGCATACCCCCCCACCCCCACCCCACACATGCGCACTCACTTGTCCTACCTGTGTCCTTGGCCTTGGGCCCAGTTCTGGAAGGTTCTGGATGGATTTTTGGTCAGAATGTTTGGGAGGGAGTCAGGCTTTCCTGGGCACATCTTCTAGGTTAGATCGTAGGATGTAAAGGCAGCAGGACATCAGGTTCACATAGTCCCCCAACTCCTGGGAACTTGGGAGGCCCAGGGAAGAAAGACTCCTTTAGGAAGGGGTGCCCCGGCGGGGGCAGTGGTATAGAGGGAGGAGGGAGGCCTGTTTCCTCTGGGACATGCCATCACTTGCCCCAGGGGACCTGTCAACACCTGGACTGTGGACCAGGCTTGGAAAGATCCAAGTGTGGGGTCACAGGGGCAGGCGGGCAGTGAGATGGCTTATGGAAGGCCAGGAAGAAAGTCAGGCACTTGTTTGCATATAACCATGATTGCTTTCTTCTCTTTGGTTTTATACACACCTGGATTATAACTGATTTCAATTAGACATCGCCTTAAAAATGACTCAATAGGAACACACACACACACACACACACACACACACTCACACAAACATTGAGTCCAAGAAAAGAACTGAGGTGAAAAAACGAGATCCCCCCCCCTGTAATCTCAGGAATGAGAGGAATCTCACACAGCTCTTTTTTAAGCCAACAAATCCTTACTTCTGGAACTTCACTGTTCAGCTACTTATCTGCCCACCACCCTTCCACCAGAGGGAAACCAGATCAGAATGTCAGTCAGCTGGAAATCCAAGTATCCAAAGACCACCTGTCCTTCAGCACCGAGAGAAGCCCCTGTTCCACACGCTGACTGTGGCAGGGTGGGTGAGTGTGTGTGTGTTTGTGTGTGGGTATGTACTGGCTTTCAGGGTTCAGGAGGAGTCCATCAATGTCTAGATAAACAGTCCACTAAGTGCAACAGCAAATACTGACATACATGCCATTACAAACACTGAGGACGGACATTCCAAGAGTGCTTTATCACAGCCCTAGGATCATAGTTCAGGTCCTTTCTGTGTCCATAGCAACACACGCACATAGCCAGGGCCATTGTAGTGGGCAATACTGATCACAAGGATTTCCAGTCAAAACATATCACAGCTGGGTGCTGGTGGCACATGCCTGTAATCCTAGCTAGTGAAGAAGCTAAGATCCACGGGATCATGGTTCAAAGCCAGTCACTGTAGAAAAGTCTGCAAGAATATCTCCAAAATAAGCAGCAAAAAGCAGGGCTGAAGGGGTGGCTCAAGTGGAAGAGTTCCAGTCAAGCAAGTATGAGGCCCAGAGTGAATAAACCAGTATCTTCCTCCTCTTGATTTTCTAACTCTGCAATGGTCAGCTTCCCTCAGCCCGGTCCATCCAGGCACCCCAAAATGTTCATCTACTTTCTATCCTTATTCCAAATCCCAACCAAGGTCCCCTGACCTTCCTTCTGTATGGCAGGTTTCCCTCCTCTGTGTCCCCATTACCCACTAGCTCCTCTGCACCTTTAGTGCTCACTGGCACAGCTACCCTTGGGTGCTCCCTCAGGTGTGGAAAGAGACCCTTTGGTGCAGTACCCCCTCCCCCCAGGCTGTGGTTCAGAGTCCACCTCAGTGGGAGGTTTGTCTTCTCATTCCTCTGGGTACAGCTTTCCTAGGGACTGGGCAGGCAGAGGGCTGGACCTTTACCTGGGCAGCTGGTCAGTGCCCTGGATGAGGCTGGGAACCCCTGGTCACCATGGGTGCATCCTCATGCTGTGACATAATGGGGCCCCCAAATGTGAGCCCTACCCTGTGCCCAGGCCCTGACTTCCTTTAACTCTGCTCCACCCCCCGTGGAGTTGCACCTTACCTTTAGCCACTGACACAGAATTTTTTGCTCAAGCTCCACCCCCTTCCATTAGCCTGCCCCTTTGCAGGGGTCTGTCTTTCTTTAGTCATTGAGATATGGTGTCTGGTCAAGCCCGCCCTCTGCTCAAAGCATGACTCAGCTGTCAAATTTGCCTTTTTTGACTATGAAATATGACACAGGCATGAGGTACAATGTACCTTTGCCTCCTCACATGAAGCTGACACAATCTAGATAATTCTGGGACAGGTGAAGTGGGACATCCTGTGCCAAGGGGAGCCCACTAATGACTGGTGCGTGGTCTACTCCCATTTGTGTCTAGTGGCAGCCTAGCTAATGGGCAATCCCACATGCCTCTTTCCAGGCTTGCAGTTCCAGTTGGATTAGGGAAGCTGCCTTTATTGTCTAGTTATACAGTATCTGCCCTCCTACTATTTATCACAAGCATCGTGCTAGGTGATTTCTATGCCCAATCTTGTTCTCATAAAAGACCTGGGAAGAAAACAAAGTTGATTTGTACTGGTTTCGCTGGCCAAGAACCCTGAATCCGTGAACTGACCATTGTTCCCTGGGGACACAGCTAGGTCTCCATCCACCTCAGGTCATGACACCTTTATTAACACACAACCTTGTTGTTCATACTTTCCTGCTTAAAGATGCCTTATTTCCCATGATTCATGAACACTGAATTCAAAGCTAAACAATGTAACTCCTGCCTCCAATGTGTTACTTTCTGTGGAAACACACTCAGCCTTCTTGAACATAGACAACACCACTTCAACACTGGGTCATTAAAAAAATCACCTCTCCAGCAAAACCACAAATGCAAAAAAAAAAAAAAAAAGCAACATTCAATAGATACCCTTTTCTCCCCAGACCCTGGGGTTTGTCATGAGAGGCAAGGCATCACCTGGTTCATCCTCAGCCCATATGCATTCTCCCCTGCTCTACAAAGCAAAATAGCCATTTGCTATATACATATATCACTCAGCCAAGACAAGGAAGAACATTTTGACATCTGCTGCAATGTGAGGGACTTGAGAATGGGATACAGAAGGACACACACTGCAGGATCCACACACAGGTGCTCCCTAGGTGGTCAGATCCAGGGACTGGAAATAGGATTGCATGGGGTAGGGGAGAGAGGGTGACAGACTGAGGGAGAAGGGGACTTGGTGTTGAATGGGAGCAGAGCTTCAGTGTGGGAGATGGGTGGTAGTGTCAAGGGTAGCCATGTGGCTGCTTAATGCCTGCCGTCGAGCTGTGTTACATGTGGGTTTTATGTTGGGTGTACGCTACCAAATTAAAAACAAAAACTGACCAGGAGCCTAGCTTGAGTAGAATGTGGTGCTGGATGGGGGAGTGTCATCACCCAGGATAGCTCCTGGGGCATTAAGGGTAGGAGCAGCTGATGCTCTGCCGATCATCTGACAAAACTGTTAGTCCACATCGCCTTTCTCCCTTTTCCTTCATCCATCCAATTCCTACTCACTTCTAGGAGGTCAAATCTCATTGCTCTTCCCTACCTCTGGGAAACTTCCCAAGGGCCCTGCATACTACCTGGCTTTAAAGATGTCTCTAAGAAAAAGTGCAGACTCATGCAGCCACCTGGATGCAGTGTCTTCCGAGTTCCACAATGAAAAAAAAAAAAGCACATTATACTAAATGAAAAATCTGTGAGACATAGGAAAGCGTGGTGGGCGGGGCCAGGGCAGGGGGTAATCAGCCTGTCTGAGATCACTTCTGAACTGACACATGATTCACATGTAAACAAGGACACGCACGTATCTCACAGGGTAAAACATCACAGGGACAGGCCCTGTGGTAGAAATGAATTTGATGTATTCGTGGAGCAGGCAGGAAACCACCTCAATGACTCGGAGGAATTAGAAGAGCACAACAGGACTCGATTCCTATTTGGGGTCACCACAAAGCCACGAAGTACCACAAACTAAAGGCTTCAGACAAGAGACGTGTTCTCTCTCTCACACTCTTGGAGGCAGCAGGGCCGCTCATGCTGAAGCCTGAGGAGGATCTAGTCTAGTCTGCAGGAAATCCTTGCCGTGCTCGGGGGCTTGAAGACACACGTCACTCCGTCTCTGCCTCCACAGCCCACGCGGCCCCGCCTCCTGCGCCTCCCCCTCCCTCTCGGTATGCCAATCATCAGATCCAGTGCCCGCCCTAATCCAAGATGGTGTCTTCACTGCATCCGCAACCCGATTTCATCCGCAAAGACCCTTTGCCCAAACAAGGTCACACGCACAAGTTCTGGGGGATGGAAAATGGCCGTGGGGCCATTCAACCCTCTACAGTAGAGTCTCAGACGAACAAAAATAACAAAAAAAAAATCTCTGCAACGTAAAGAACATGAACAGTGCTCCCTGCAACACAAGAAACATTAACAGTGCTCCCCCCACCCGTCTCTCCTCCCGGCTCTCCAGGTATTCCATTAATTCCCAAAATGCAGGTGCCATAATCGAGGCCTGGCTGCACCACGACTCCTCCCATCCCCCTCCCCCCCGGGGCTCTGGGCCTCCGTCCAAGCTCCCGTTGGGTCTGAAAAGGCTGCGTTCTTGGCCCTACACCGCCTACCAGCTTGTGGGGCTCCTCCGGACGACTGCAGGGGGCGCCGTTCCCGCGGCCCAGAGAACTATCTGGGAGGCGACTGCAGCCGCAGCGCCCCCGCCGCGTGTGGGGCTCTGCGCCCCAACCTCCGCCAGGGCCGGAATGACGCACCCCTGAATCCCAGGGACGCCAATTCCCTGCCCGCAAAGACCCCCTGCTGTCTTTGAAAGGAGAAATGGTAATTAGACCCCCCCCCGACCCCCACCCATTCTCTCAAGGAACCCCGCCACCCCGCCACTTACTTATTTATTTGCCCCTGGTTTGTTTTTGCATCTGCAATGCGCCACCAGAAAATCTGCACCCGCCCCAGCGCGGCTGTGGGTGGTGCCTTCCCTCCGGCCGCTGGCACCACTGGGCGCAGACCGGAGGCGCGGCTCCTGCAGCAGGACTGGCCACGCCCCTTGCACAAAAAACCGGCCAATCAGAGCCCGCGAAGGCTCTGCCAGCGGCGGGCGGAGGAGGGGGCCGGGGG